CCACTATTAAGTCAATATAAGTCGAAAACTCCTTTTCGACTTATGAGTACACCTTGGCCAAGGATTTCATCATCGACTTAATTGAATGAAACGCAGATCATAATCTCCTACTATCTAAGAGTGACGAATCCTTTATTGATCAATCACAACCTTCATACGATTCTTGACATACCCGAACGATATCGTATTAGCGGCCCTTTTCAGAGCAACATCCAACACCGTCAAAGTATGACTGTCCTCATATAAGGTACTATGACGACCTCAAGTCAAAGGACCAATTCCACTACCGAACGTTAGAGATTAACCACTGACACTCAGATAGTTATCCATGTGGAATCTCTCGACGGGTCTCCAATGTTTTGTTCTATAACAAAAACATCCACGTGTTCATTTAAGTGTCACCACACTTTAGCTTGTGAGATCAGCTACTTACTTCACAAGTAAGAAATGCCACACGTGATGGTCTATCCGTAATAACGATATCCGTATCTCGTTATTACTTACGACCACGGATAATTTAAGATTCAATCAGATGTAATTTGTATCTCACAATCACAACTCCTTGTGATTAACAAATTACGAAGATTTGAATCTACGGACTCTATTATTTATTTAATTGTCTATTAATTAAATAATAGATCTGCCATTTAATTGCATTAATTATATATAAAAGTATTTATGTCCAAAGTTGATTGGACCTAGGGCATAATACTTACAATCGCAATACCATGATCAGTTGAGTAATGATTGTAAACTTGTAATAATTGGAAAATACGGATGGCCATGGGTCTCTATCTATCAGAAAATATTATACGCAAATATGCAAATATTACAAAGTATTTGTTGAGATAGTCTTTGCTAGTGAAAAAGTAGAAGGGTCGAGGAATTTAATATTATAAACTTTTCCTATTGACCAAATCGTATATATTGTTATTAACCGTTCTATTCTGGCTAAATACTTTAATCATGTACAAAGTGGGAATTAGTAACCAACGAACAATTCATAATAATGTTGATGATGATTTTCTTGCTGGTCGTACGAATGAGAGACATCAACTCTTGTCGAGCACAACTTCTTGATTACATTATATTATCGACTTTTTTTAAATTTGTACCCCCCTTAAAATCTACTCGTAGCTACATCCCTGTCATAAGAGCCAATTATCATATACAGATCGTACCAAATGTCACTAGCGACGAAATTATTTTCATTTCTCTTGTGAGAACTATCGCACAGCCCTTTACATTCTTCGCAAGATATAAAATAAGGAAAAAGACCTTAAAAGAACCCCAAATACTTTGAAAACTCAGGTTTTTAACCTTATGAAGAGTCTAAATCAGACATTAAATGCCCTGAACTGGGTTTCACTTTTATCAAATTGGATCGGTTCTCTCTGAGGCAAATTCTTTATTCAAACAGTCAGGAACATGAAATCGATACATGTCACCATGCAAATAATTTTGTTAAGGCACCAGATTGAAGTGGAGGCAGGAAGTGGAAGCTGGGAGTGGAAATGTGGGTGTATTTGTCCACCATTCACAAAGCCAGCCATGCAACCAAGCCATGCAAATGATTCCAATGTTTGTGGTTATCTTCTAAAGTCAACACGTGGGATAGTGGTGTGGACTCAGTCTGTTTGTTTGTTCCATTTAATATAGCCATGAAGTTAAGGTTAGTGGGTTGTTTGTTTCCTAATTGTTAGGGGGTTGTTGTTTGTTTCCTAATTATTAGCATAGTTTATTTCTTCCAACCGTGTAAGACTATTATAAGTAGTCAGTCGCATTGTTAATAAAGGAATTAACAATTCAATTATTCCAACTTTATCTTCTCTATTTCTTCTCTGTCAACTTTATCTTCTCTAATTCTTCTCTGTTCAAATTAAACCATATCAGAAATGCTCCATGTGCCGTTCTTTTTAAATTTCTGAATACGAAAGTAAGTAGGTATCACTGGCATGTTTCACAGAGTATTAAAAGCCATAATCTTTCTGCTACCAAGGGTATGAATATCCCGTACTTACTAAAGGAAAACAAATGTTGCCACTTCTTTAAAATCCAAGAAAGAAACATTTCACTAGCAATGGATAGGATACTGAAGAGGGATTATCTGACCAAGTCAACTGGATGTTTGAGATTGAAACATCATCAATAATGGATATACATGCGACAGGGGACTTCATTTTTGAAGTCGCTAAAGTCGCCACTACTCCATTCTTGAATGCATGATAATCATTAAGGGGCTGTGCTACTTGCACAGGGTCCTGTGCAAGTAGAAAAATTGATCATTAAGTATACTAGAGCCCACTATGCATAGAGGTAAACTTAAGGTGAACCAATGCACACTCGAAGGGTAGCGGTTGCAAGTTTCCCCGTAAAAAAAAATGCACACTTGAAGGGTAACGGCTGCGGGTTTCCCCATTAAAAAAAAAAAAAAAAAAAACCATTTGAGGTGAACCAGTGTAGTCATGTATCAGCATTTACTTTTAAGTTTGAATCATTTTCCTACCAAGATGTTTCAAAGTGGTGTTATACAGGTACTGCCAAATAATACTCCAGGATTGTGAGTCAGTGGCCATAGTGGCATTATGCAAGTTGAGCGACCACACAGGGCCTCAACATTGTAGGGGCACCAATTTTTATTTATTTTTATTCTTGAATGCATGATAATCATTAAGGGGCTGTGCTACTTGCACAGGGTCCTGTGCAAGTAGAAAAATTGATCATTAAGTATACTAGAGCCCACTATGCATAGAGGTAAACTTAAGGTGAACCAATGCACACTCGAAGGGGTTGGGTTGCAAGTTTCCCCGTAAAAAAAAATGCACACTTGAAGGGTAACGGCTGCGGGTTTCCCCATTAAAAAAAAAAAAAAAAAAAAAACCATTTGAGGTGAACCAGTGTAGTCATGTATCAGCATTTACTTTTAAGTTTGAATCATTTTCCTACCAAGATGTTTCAAAGTGGTGTTATACAGGTACTGCCAAATAATACTCCAGGATTGTGAGTCAGTGGCCATAGTGGCATTATGCAAGTTGAGCGACCACACAGGGCCTCAACATTGTAGGGGCACCAATTTTTATTTATTTTTAATTCTATATATCTGTAGAAGTACATATTTATAATTGTACATATTATTTTATGGACCATTCTAGAAGTACAAAGTAGGATACCAAATGGTTTACAAAATCCACAAGTGGCGCCTCCGCCCCTCCAATAGGGGGGCGCCACTTATGGATTTTGTAAATCATTTTGTATATGATTTTGTACAAGAAGAATAATCCTTGTTTTATTAATTTTAAGATTTAAAATTTTTATTATTATATTAAGTTAAAGGGCACAATATTTATGAAAAAAGAGTAAAAAAAATTATATTTTGTTAATATTTGTTTAATTTAACATATATTGAAAAAATATATATATTTTTATAATTTAAACTATCTTGCTTTCAAAAAATATTATAAACTATCTATTTCACTAGTCCTAATATCAAATGTCCAATTACCTTCATTAATCAATTACTAACCTAAAAAGAAAATAAGTAGCCCAAAATTCAAATGATTATAATAGAGAGTGAAAAACTAATACAAGATCCATTTTTATTAGTTCAGTTCTCTCATTCTCATTCTTTAACCCACGAAGAATAGTCAAATAAAGAAGAGAATAAACTTTATTGTCAATCTTTATTACTTACTCTATAATAGTATAATCTATTGTTTAGAAACCGTTGTCCACTTTTGAATTTTTATTTCATGATTATTTTTATTTTTATTTTTATTTTTAGGAGGGTAAGTTTTTGTTGGGTGATAACTGATAGTTGATTACATTCAATTTTTGCGAATTTTTTACCAAAAGAAACAAAAATAGTTTTTGATATGTTGACTTATTTGAGAAGATTGGATTGTTTTTCGAATATATTTATTGCTTATAGAATACTATTGACAATTATTTTTATTGTTGTATTTGTCGAAAACTGTGCTTCAAAACTAACGATCAACCATGTCACAAGAACGAGTTCATTTGTGAATTGTTATTTCATGATGATGATGACGACGACTATTATTATTATTATTATTTTGGTTCTAGAAGGGTAAGTTTTTGTTGGGTGATAACTAATAGTTGATTACATTCAATTTTTGCGAATTTTTTTTTTACCAAAGGAAACAAAAATAACTTTTGATATATTGATTTATTTGAGAAGATTAGATTGCTTTTCGAATATATTTATTGTTTATATAATACTATTGATCATTTTGTTATTGTTGCATTTGTCAAAAAATGTTCTTCAAAACTAAAGCTATTAAAATCTTATTTGTGATTAACCATGTTATAAGAATGATTGAATGCGCAAGTTTTAATATTTATTGAAAAAGATTTGCTAAAACATATAGATTACGAAAGTTTAATTAGTAAATTTGTTTCTCAAATATGAGAACAAATATTTTTACATGATTTATTGTATTTCAAAATTTAGATGCGGTTCTTGCTATTTTTGATTTCAAAGTTTGCTCTTGTGAAATTGTAAGAGGTTAGTAGTTTTGATGGTTCTCTATTGATAACATGAATTTTGATGAATTTCGGAGAATGCTTGAGCCTTAGTTATGTTTTTTTTTTTTTATTAACAATATGTATTAAAAAAACCAAATTTTTAAATGTCATATTTTTGGATGAAATGATATTATTGAATTATTTTTTTATATTATATTTTTTATTACATGAAAGGGGCACCATTTTAAAATGACGCACGAAGCACCTAAAATTTCAGGGCCAGCCCTGGCCACCAGTCCACATGAGACAAGTGTAATGACCAAGATTTTCTCGTCGTTGGGAACTTTCAGGGCCGCTTACACAGCCTGCGATAGTGTGGGCATGTGGATCATGCTGGGCCATACAAGTTTTTACATGTAGAGCTTGAAACAAAACTTGGCAAACAGGCACAAATCCAGCATGAGCAAAAGGAAAGGCATGACCCATGTACATCACTAATCTTGTGAGGCCTGGTGCCCATGTCTTAGACCAAGTCACGTGGCCTAAGAAGGGTAAATACTAGGGCGAATGTCAAATGAATACAGAAATTCCTAACCTTATCTATAGCCTAGAAATTCATGATCCTAAGATGAGAATCTACTTGCTCTATGAAAATAAAACTGGCAACAGAAGATTATTTTCAGACAGAAAAAATAAAAAATTCAACCAGAGATAGTAAGACAAAGAAATCAATGCCCGGACAAAGGGCATAAGACAAATGACTATGACTTGTTTCTTTCTTCATTCCCGTTCTCTAGTTTGTACCTGCACATGTGAAAAAAAAAAAGGCCATTCAACAAGGACCACTTGCCTTTCGGCACTCATTGAGCCAATTGGAATTATTCACTAGTTTTTAATTGTGCATATTAAGAACAACCCTGACCTAGCTAAAGAAGTACAAAGGGGAATCTTTCATCACAGAGAAGCTGAAATCAATGTTAAATGCATGTACAATAAGATTAAGAACACAGAGAACTTTCAAAAGCACACGAACCATAAGTTATAAATTTCTATCTGTCATCAATGGTGCAAAGATTCTACAGTTGCTGATATAAAACTTGTGCACACCAACTACAGTCTGACATTGAAAATCCTTTCCATAGAAGATTAAGAAAGCTGTGTACCTTATGCAAAATCCATCAAGATGACAATTTGAACATTTTCCATATTTGGCCTTCAAGGTTTGCATATCACCACGAAACAAGGAAGAAGGGCTCTAGGGTTAAGCAAATAAAGCTCCTCAATGTTTGAATAAAGACCAACTTTACCAGCTAATGAATCAAATCCTGTCTGGCCAGCAATTTCTTGAATATTCTCCAGAGGCCGATGCACCCTCCCTGCAATAACTCTGCATACTATTAAAGCTTTTCTTACAGGTATATCCTCTTTATGGATTTCTATAGATTCAAAAGCTCTTCCACTGGTTGAAGTTGTGAAAACTCCTATTCCACCTTTCAGTTCCTTCTTGGTCGAAAAGCCCTGTCTTATAATTCTACAAACACAGCATCTGTTTTCAGCTATGCAAAGACTGGAGGATCCATTCATGCCAAGGCAGCATGATAAAGTAGTTCCGTAGAACCTTAGAAGTTCATTTCCATCAGCTAGGCATCGAGGGTGTTTCTTAGGAAGCTTACTGGCCTTTACTTTCACCGTCTCCCTGTATTCCTCAAATCGAGCCAGTGTTTTCTGCATGTTGTGTACTTTCAATACCCTTTCAATTCTAACACAGTGGTTGTCTGACTTCAGCCAGCTTGATCGGCAGATGATTTCAACAATTTTCCTGGACGAGTCACCCTCCAAAAGTTCAGTCACTGGATGAAAGAACAGTAAGCAACTGAGAAGCGTATCCAATATCAAACAAATATAAACAAGATTACCGAAACCAAATGTCAGATATAGAGTTTGATAAAGATAAGAGTACTAGCTTAATTTTCCTTCAGTATGGTCATTTGAATTCAATCATGCACAATATTAGGAGTTACATTGAATGCATGTTTAATATTAAACATGATTAGTTAGTAGAATGACCAAGACTTTATCTTCTTTTGCTTCCTTAATACTATCGAGTGCAATCAAAATCTCCCTAGCAAGCATGTACAAAATGAAATCCTACCAAACATTGTTCGTTGTCCTTCACTTTGTTCGTTTCAGTTTGATCGTGTACGACTTTAGGAGTAATATTCATGTTTAACACACAATATTGAACATGATTAGACACTAGAATGGCCAAGACTTTTAACTTCTTTTTCCTTAATACTATCGATATCCTCCGTACCAAACATGCCCACAGTTGATCTCCCATACCAAATATGCACAAAATGAAATCATCCCCTACGAAACATACTCAAAGGAATCAAAGGCACACAGTATTTTGCTATTTAATTAACCATTATGTACCATTATGGATATGCAGTAGAGAAACTTTTTAAGGTATAAGAATCAGGGGGTAGGATTCAAACCACTAACAGGAAATACAGAGTAGACAAGATCAGTTATTTAGCAAAAAGTTACCTAAAGTACCTCAGCATTTTCCCTGCTAATTTAATCGTGTGAAAAGCAGTAGAAAAACAAAGATTTCATGTTTCTAGACTTGCCAAATTTGTGTACTTCCAGGCCTCAAAAATGAAAAAGTAATATTACTAATTGAGACATTCCCAACCCCGGAAAGATGATTTTACAACAGATTTCTAGTTTAAATTATAAGGAGAAAATCTAATATACGACAAAGGACCATAAATTGATTTAAAGTGGCTTAAAAAAAATAAAAAATAAAAAAAAAAATCAAGGAAGAGAAAACCAGTAAGAAGGGAGAAGGTTCTTTACCAGCATGCTTTGAAAGATGATGTGATTCAAGAGCTTCCCACTTTCCAAACTGCTCTCCACATTTGTGGCATGCAATAGAAGAAGACCCATTAGCATCTTTATCAAGGGGAGCCCTTGATTTTAGGGGCAAACCATTAGTCCCCCCAAAATTTGCAGAATTTCCATTCCCAATGCCCTCCAAAAGAGATGTCTTCCTAGGAGGAGTTGCAGTATTTCTGTAGGAAGGATTGAAGTAATGCATTGTAGGGTGCCCTCCAGGGCCAGGAGTACCAGGTCTTAAAGTTCCCACAAATGTTGAGCCAGCACCTCCGCCGCCGCCGTGAAGCCCACCTTCTTGCAACCCACCAAAACCAGTGATTTTGAGTTCACATGTTGAGTTACTCAAAATCACTTCATGGGTTATTGGGTTGAGAAATTCACTACTCCCTATGGATCTTGGACTACAACTAGGGGGCTTTTCCAGGTGCCTCTTGCTCCCATGAATAACATCTTTCAGATTTGCTATAGACCTTGAACAACCAGACCTGCCTGATTTTCTAGTCAAAATTGCAGTCAACTGCTTCCTGGTCTTTGGATCATACACATCTGATGGCTCTGATTTACAGTGCAAGGATTTCTTCAATGAAAACCAAACTGTTGGCATATCTTTCTTCTTCTCCCCCATTCACACACTTCTCCGTTTACAATATCTTTTTTTCTCTTTTACTCCATCAAACTCCTAAATGTACTAACAGTCTGTAAATTAAGAATTCAACACTTTGCAGCTTTTATCCTTAAATGCCATAAATATTGAATGGGTTTACATGAAATACGAATACTGGGTCCAAGAAGAAGATGACAATGAAGGCGTAATTAAGAAAATTTTTGACAAGTAGTAAATGACACGTTAACTGAGTTCACAAATGAACACAGGCGGTGAAGAACAAATTCAGACAGCGACAACGCTTTAAATGCTATCATACTCACCACTTTTGAATTCAATTTTCATCCCAGGTTTGAATAATCCTTTTTTAATGAATTTTACCCAACCAGATTCTAGATATTATAAGCATGCTAAGATGTACTCACTGCTTGCATTTATAAAAATCCAGTACCAAATCCTGGGACCTGTCTGGACATAATTTATATTTACCACAGATTCTCCTTTTGCATTTGTGGGACAGAGTTTTTATGTAGTGGGCAAAATTTTCTATTCTTTTCATCGACTGAGTGCTTTCAAAATGTGTCGGATCATTCAAGTTCGAATTGTTCAGTACGTGAAAAGTGTAGATGCAATTAGATATATTACGCGTGGTAAATTAGTTTAACCATAGCAAGTTGGACGGTAAAAGCTCACCATCCATGTAAAATTCATCTCCAGAATTATTTCTAGAGACTGCTGGATAATTTTTATGGGTTCTATCATTACATGGACTAGACTTCAAGTAGGATTAAAACTTACTATAAATCGGCTAATGGTCGATGACTTTATCATTGAGTTACCGAGGAACAAAAGGACACTAGACTTCATATAGCTCAATTTCTGACTCAATTCACGACCAATGTCAGCTAGAAACTTCCTTTATAACTTCACGTGTGGTTTGCTGAGATAAGCTCAAGAAAATATTTGCATCTTTTACTTCATACCTGAATGTAATATTTTCTTGAAATACAGTAAGTTATCAATAATGTTATCAAAATCATTGTACATCAAACACTGTTTGAACAAGAATCAATTTTTTATTGTACTGTGTATTTTGTCGTTAATAATCACAGCATTAATTTGCAGATTAATTAAGATAATTATAATGAATTCCAAACTCCAATGATAGACCGTAGAGATTATTATTACACGATGGACACCATTCTCCATGCTACATTGGATTCAGTTTCGAAAAACGAAATGTAACATTATGTAATCGAGACATATAATACTCCCTCCTTCCCATTTATGGATGCCTACTTTCTTTATTTTCTTGTTCTAATTGTACAGTCCTTTTTTATTAAATTTGTTTTGATTTGTTCGTCTACTAACATATTCTTATTTAATTGTCAAATTATAACCAATTCTTTCACTTAATCTTGAAATTGTACAAATATAAGTAAGGAAAAATCAGGCAAGTTATTGGTAAAAACTGTTTTTTCAATAACATTAAATAAGATTTGTTAATCCGTGTGAAAAACAAAACAAAGCTATGTAAATGGGGAGAAGGGAGTATAATTATTTGTTGACAATGTTATTAATTTTTACAAATATAGTTTTTTTTTTTTTTAAATCATTCATTGGTCTAATGAACTTACCATTTTTTTTTAATTTTTACATATTTTAAAACTCGTGGGCCAAATTACTAAATTTTTACATATTTTAGGTTAAAATCTCAAATCAAAGTAAATAATTAATTTTAATCACAAATTTCACGAGATCGATAATTTTAACGATATATTTTATTGGCTTTTATTAAAATTTATTTAAAATATTCACAAAGCAGGGGCATAAAGTCAATATGTGTTCACTTTATTTGAGGATAAATTTATTTTAGTAATTCCAAAGCAATATCGTGCGAGGTATCTTACATAATAAATTCACAATGAATGACACCAACTCAAATACGAGAACATTAATTGTACTTGAGTTGGTAATTATATAGTATTCGATTTGGTTTTAAATTTTTGGCCCAAGAATTTAAATCTTTATGTTTAAAAGGAATGGAGATTTAAAATGAAGAATAATGAAATTCGATCTCGCATTTGCTTAGCATCAGTCGAGTGTCGACATAATAGTGAGATCACTATCACGTTAGTTGATATAATTATAATATATTGAATAATGTGACAATGAACCCATCAGTGCAAAGTACCAATGAAACTAACCTTTTTTGAGTCCCATTCTTGAAGAAAAATATATTTTTCAACAGTATTTTAACATTATTTCAACTACACATTTTTCAATAAAATAATATTACACGCAAATCCAAAAAAAATTTTATTTTTTAATCACACATTTCTCATCAATACACTATTCAAAAATTCATTCTTTTTATCAAAAAAAAAGAATAGCAAAGATTTAACTAGTTGACAGTCTTCATTTTCTCGCATGTAAAAAATAATAAAAATTAATAAGTTGAAATCGAGATTCAAAATGAAAAGGCAAGAAAAATGATTTTGTATAAATTAAAAGTATTAACAAATTAAGATATAAATATATTTTTACGTACGAGGGTTGGCGTTTTTCTCGAAACTATTTGAACAAGATTAAAATCGATTTTAACTTACTAGTTTAGTTCGTGGCTTTGTTCTCATATTCGATTTTATGAATACCTACAAAACCATTCAACTCTATATATAGAATTTTAATTGATATTCAATTAAGTATACTTTTAATCGGAGCTAGATTAATTCATCTTACGTACCAACGTCTATCAATAAATGCGAGCACATGTTCCAAGAATGATCGTTTGAATGATACTATATTTAAAGAAGGGGAGAAGATCATATGAATGTGAATTGTTAATGGTAGATGAAATTTTATGATGCTTCCTTTATTTCTCCCTCAAACTAGTGGGAATACCATATATTCCAAAACGATGTCGTTTTCAAAACGATGCCACGTCCAAATCAGAGCGCATATTTAGTTGGCCCGTCACCTATGCTAATTCAATGTGAATTTGACAGAACCGAAAAACTTTCCATTCCAATCTACAATTTAATTTTAAAACTTCAATTTTTAGTTAGCAGTTGTAAATTCTTTAAATAGTGACAGCCAATTATAATTTGCTTTAGTTTTCTCGTTTTTCTTTCTTGTAAATTTGCAAAGGAGGTCCTAAATCGTCACCTTCAAATATGTGCGGTAGAAGGACCTCTGCATGGTTTGGGACGTGTCCGCTATGATTTCAAGGCTTGAAACTTATCTATACATTTTTATTTTTTTATTTATTATTATTATTATTTTTTTTTTTGTTGGGGAATGGTTTGGAACCTATGCCACAATTTTTTTTTTTGTAGGAAAAATATCCCTATGGGATCAAATTTTTGGACTGTAATTTGTTTGAAGATATTATTATACCAGTAAAGAATATAGTTGGAGTTGATAAGGTTCTTTATTGGGAAAATTACATGAAACCAAGTACTTAAAATTTCAAATTCAAAGTTCAGGAGGCAAGTTTATTTGTGCAAAAATCAGGTATTATATCTAATTGTTATAGAATGAGAGGAAAAGAGAATAGAGAAAACTAAAAGAGAATAGCGAAAACTCAATAAACTTTTTGTATGTATTATTGAAAATCAAAGCCCTATATTTATAGGTAAGAATCAGGGATACAATGGTAATAATTTTTAGGGCTACAGGGGTACAAATGTTATTCATCAATAAATTTTAATGGACTTTCCATTTACAACACTCCCCCTTGAATGACATATTACAAAATATCATGAAATAAACGGTGCATAATAGAGTTTTATTTATTTTTATTTTTTATTTTTTGTGCGGAAAAGTAAAATCATATTTCTAACTGAATTTTTAAAACGAAAGAAATACTAATAAATTAATCTATATCTTCTATCACACCACCCCCAACCAAATGGTCAATATTTTCATTTGGATCAGTAAAGAAATCGGAGACATCCAAATGGGTCACATCAATTGGACCATCATAATCAGCAAAATTAGTTTCCAATTTTTCTTTTCCCTTGATTGATCTCTGGTAGCGATCCACAAGATGTTTTGAGGTACGATACGTACGTGCCCAATGCCCTTTCATTCCACATCTGAAGTAACTTTCTTCATGCTCCTTTTTAGATTTGCCACTTTCGTTTACTTTGTGCCTTTTGAATTTATTGCCTTGTTGTTGATAACTTTGTTGATTATTTCTTTCATGATTTATTTCACATACACGTCCGTGTCCGTGTCCACGTCCTTGTCTTGATATTGTATTTGTTTCAGACAATGTAGTACCATTTGCTTCAGGCAATGGTACAGAACCAGTTGGACGTAATCCATGATTTTTCATCAACAATTCATTATTTTGTTCAGCAACTAATAGGTAAGATATAAGTTCTAAGTACTTTTTGAAGCCATATTCACGATATTGCCATTGCAGGAGCACATTCGAGGCATGAAAGGTGAAGAAAGTTTTTTTCAGCATATCTTTATCGGTGATTTTTTCTCCACACAAAGTCAACTTTGAACATATTCTGAACGATTCAGAATTGTACCCACTAACCATTTTAAAGTCTTGCAAACGAAGGTGCATTCACTCATAACGGGCTTTGAGGAGGACTATAGTCCTCTGATGATCAAATCTTTCAGTTAACTTTTTCCAAAGAACTCGTGAATCTTTCTCAGTAAGATATTCAATTTTTAATCCATCGTGAAGATGGTGACGGAGGAAAATAAGTGCTTTTGCACGATCCTGCAGGGATTTATTATTTCCTTCTTTTATTGTCTCTCTCAGACCCTTTGAGACGAGATGGATATCAGTATCCAGTATCCATGACAGATAATTTTTATCAAATATGTCAAGTGCAGCAAACTCAAGTTTAGTAATGTTTGCCATTTGTTTAACTACACAATAAAAAATTACAATTAGTTTCGAAAAATATGATTAATCATCACATGTTAATCAAATAGTCAATATCAATATGACTTTAAGTTACGTGTTTTCCTTTAAGGATATGTTCTTCGAAAACATATGCTACTTCTGGAACACATTATATTTTGCTATTATTTCTTCAAGTGCAATATGTCAATATTCTTTTGAAATATTAAGAGTTATAATTTATGTTCTTCAGGAGCAAATAATATTCTTATAATGTTGTGTTACTTTTGGAGCAACAACGAATAGATCTATGATTAATATTCTTCTGGAATATTAATTATAATGTTGTGTTACTTCAAGAGCAACAACAATTAAAAATAAATTTAATGTAATGTTTCATAACTAAACATAAAAAAAATGATAATGCATCCAATTGCTCACCATTAATTAATATATAAACACATGTAAAATATTATTTTGAATTAATAACGTGAGTCGAGTGAAACACAAAAAAAAAAATGGTGACATGTAGAAACCTATTCACATATTATGGCACGAAATTCTAATTATGTGCAATTAAAAGAATTGAATTAGTATTAACCAATTAAGGCATGAAATTTGCAGAAACCAATGGATTTGAGAGAAAAGATGAGTTGTTTTACAAAGAACATCGACCAATTAAACCAAAAAAAATTATAAGCATGTGTAGAACGTAAAGGGCTAATCTAAATATAGGAAGGGTATAGGAACATGAATTAATGCATATCAATTGATTTAACATAAATATATCTTCATAAAAATGCACATGGATTGATGTAAGGGAAAAAATACATTAATTAATTCAAAGAGAGGTACAAAGAAAACATAATGATCGAGAAAGATGAGATCACGTATTGCAGATTCAACATATGTATATGTAAAATTCACGTATTATCAAATTAATTTTGATATACGTGATAGATGATTATGAAAAAAAATTACTACCTTCTAAGAGTTTCGTGCTGATAACGTGTTATCAAATGAGAGGAAAAGAGAATAGAGAAAACTCAAAGAGAATAGAGAAAACTCAATAAACTTTTTGTATGTATTATTGAAAATCAAAGCCCTATATTTATAGGTAAGAATTAGGGATACAATGATAATAATTTCTAGAGCTACAGGGGTACAAATGTCATTCACCAATAAATTTTAATGAACTTTCCATTTACAACACTAATTAATTCTCCCAATTAAATTAAAAACGCTAATCATTTCTCCCAAATGTCAAACCCGATTTCGTCTCCTCCTTCTCTTCTCTCGATGCTGGCTTCTCTCCTCTCGATGCTAGTGACCCATTCGACCACTCCAAAGCGACGAAAAAGATGCGCCGATGCCGACACCCACCCGTCTTCTCTCCAAAGTTTGTTTTGTGAGCCTCGCAACCATGGTTTTGGGGTGTTGTTCAAACAATTTGAACAGCACCGCAACAAAGCCTTTGCGGCAGCATGAGGCAACCTGGCATAGGCACTAGAACTGTTGAAGACGAAGGCTAGCCTCCATTCGCTGGTTTGAATGTGCATCGAATTCAAAACCTCTCTCTCTCTGTTTCAATAGAAATTACGCATTAAATTTGGCATTATTAACTTGCGCAAGATTCTCCTCATTTGATATATAGTGTACCTGTAAATCGGAGAGTGAATTTGCTAAATATCAGTTGCTCATCTTCGAAGCGAGTGATAGGGTTGCAACTACCAGAATGCAAGGAAAACAAGGCTTTTTTCCCGGATTAGTATCAATTTTAATACATTGCTCACTAATGCAAAATCAAATAATAGTATGAATATTTACTAGAATTTCTTGTTATGCAGTGGTGTTGTGTGGTGCGGCGCAGTCATTCGTTGTGTTTTGGTGGTCGTTTTTGTTGTTAGCGGTGGTCGTGGTGATGTTGTGGGGGGGGGGGGGGGGGGGGTTTAG